GCCCCGTACCGAACACCGCACGCCCCCCCTGTCGCTCCTGATGCGCGAAACGCGATGCCCTCGTGCAGTTTTGCCCCGCCTTTGTGGACCATGTTGTCGCACGTAATAACGATATTGTCGTGCGACAGATATGTGATAAATACATGTGTATATAAATATTGCGAAATAATAATAATGCATACAAATATATGATTTTGCAGCATGGATGCACTATAAAAAAACGTTAACGTAGTCGTTGTATATCTGGATTCTTGTACCGTTCGATGCTATATACACTGTATTTATGTATTATTGCATTTATATATAATTTTTATCGATAACTGAAAGTTATTTAACAAACAAGTTGCTTCATATCGCGACTTGGAATCGTCAGTAAAAATCATAATTAAGTCGACAGTTATTTACATAATCATATATTCTCCTGTATATCCTAATGACTAATGAGATACTTAATGAATGTCCCGAATACAATTATATCGTTAATCATTTTACGACATGCAAATTTTGATCGTACTTCTCTTTTTGTTGAAACACTTTATTATATGTTACAGCCATTTAAATCTCCTTGGATCGCTTCTAAAGCATATTTTATTATCAAGTATGCATGTGGCAAAACTAACTTGTTATATAAATACGTATTTGCTAGCGTATAATAATATTCAAACTGGGTGACAGAGAAATTAAATTAATGTGATCGAGTAAAATTTCGCAAAATATCGTTATCGAAATGTTACAAGTCTGTTTAGATAAGCAGATTTGTTTAGATTTTAAAAAGTGAAATTTTCAACCGCGACTTTTTCTCTCGAATCGCGTATGATGAAGATTTTCGCACGCGGTTAATGTATGTATTTCATTGGTAATATGCGCTAACCATAATTCTTATTAAAATATGTAAAAGTAGTACAGCGAAACGTGTTAATGTACTAATTTCACGCGCAGCTGCGTCGCGTGTTTGGCAACTTGGTAATTTATGAGGAACGAAAATTTATTTCAGAGAAATATACGCGTCTGCCACACACAGAAGAGATAATTTGCTTTTTGCGTATGCCCGAGGAGGGAGGGGGAGGGAAGGGGGGTTAAATTTCGTTCGCAAAGAGACTGTGCTGCCTGAGTGTACTCAAACATCTTTGACCAGGTGAAATGAAAATGCCTTTCTGAACTGTTAGTATTCGTTCGCGGTTGGATTTCGCGTCGGATAGCACGTCATCCTCATTGTGTCGCAAAAATCGCATGTCCGGTGATAAGCGGAGCGCCGAGATATGTGAAAGTGCAATTTTTCCGGGATCGCCTGCGGCGAGGAAGAATGCGTCTCGGGGAGAAAGTCCGCGTGCGGCAGGTCGGTTGTGATCGAACTACTGGGCGTGACAGTATACCCCTGCTGCAGGTGCAGTCGAACGTATATAGATAGGACCGTGAAAGCGCTTCAGGGTAGAGGGGAACGCGATCCTCGCCGCCCACGCACGATCGGCCTGCTCGTTCGCCGGGAAAGACAGGAATCGAGCCGGTGGTGCCGGTGGAATAAAGAGGAAACGGAGAAAGAGAGAAGGAGACGAGGACAGAAGCGGAGAGAAACAGACAACGAGACACGGAAAGGTGGAAGAGAAAGGTCGGAGAGGTGGGAGACTAGAGACGGAGGAGACCGAGGAGAGCGTGCGGGCCCTGTCGCTGGCTACGCGGTCGCGCACACCTGTGCCAACGCAGCATGGCACGGCGTCGCATAACAGGTGGAAAGGTAACGTTGAGGAGAGAGACACGGCGGCAGGAGAGGACGAGAGAGGAGGACGAAAGAGGGAGGACAGAGAGAGACAGATAGACGGAGGGAGAGACCCCCACTCGACCCCGAGTCTGCCAACTCGAACATTACTATACGCCCTCCGCGATCCAAGAGGAGGAGAACATCGAGACTACCGCCTTCCTCCTACGTTTTCTCGTTTCTCACTCTATCTCTCTCGTCGCCTTTTTACTCCACCTACCTCTTTCTCGCACGCTCGCGCCTCTATCTATCTCGCACTAAGCCCGCTCCTAAGCTGCCCTTCCTCTCCCTGCCGCCCAGCTTTCTCTGCGCTTCTCTTCTTTCCCTATCCCTCTCCCCCTCCCCTCTCTTCGCCCAACCTCATCCCTTTCAACGGCGGTGCCGCCGTTGCATTTCCGCTTTAACGTCGGCTAACTTGAGGCACCCGACGCGCAAACGCCGCCAACAAACGCGTTTTCACTTCGCGCCGATGAAATGGCGGACGACAGAACCTGGTTCTCCACCCTAGAGGATCTTATCGGAGATAATCTCCGATTTTTCGTCCGCTGAAGATCTTCTGGAGAAATCGGATACTTATCTATACTTTTACCAACATAATATTTCAATTACCGTACAACCGGTTTGTCGGACATATCGATCGATGGCTGAACTCGTAGATAGAGAAAAATCTTTACAGTTTAGAGAAAAATCTTTACAGTTTAAGATGTTCTTAAGTCAAATCCAGCAGGTCAGACAAGTTGTCACGCGACGATTATAATCTTGACAGGAAATGTCGAGACATGGAAAATCCGTTTTTGTCGCATAAATGAACACTTTCCTTCTTTTCTCTCTCGTGTCGTTAAAACATTACTAGTAGTTACTACCGCGTCACTCCAACTGCAAATTTCAATTATTGGCAATTGCGGACGATCGTAACGACTCCTGATTCCCATCTCTATTTCTACCTCTCTCCTTCTCTCCCGGATTTAATTATCTAACGATATTAGTCGGCATTCTTGCACATGAGCCGTTCACAAATGTTATTGAAATAATGTCTTATTGATTGCAGATTCCTTAAGTGCAAAAGTGGATATTAACAAATTCCAGATTCTCTCATAAAAAATATCGTTTTTCTTTAAACATGCAGACTATAGTGATAAACTATAGTGATGTATCGCTCGAAAAATATTTTATAAATACGAACTAAATCACGATTTCAAATTCTATTATTACACTTTATTTATGAAATAATTTCTTATATAAAAAATAAAGTTTTTACTAGATCGTTATTAACATTTTCATTTCGAATAAACTAAATTTTACATAAAAAATTATTATAATATTCGTATATGTGTGTGGGGCTGCAAATTTATGGCTTGAAAATGGATAAACGCTGTAAGAATCAAATATATCCCTGTGGAATATTTATTATTGGAATTATTACTCGAGAAAACATGTGCGTTTCTCTTGCATGCGTATAATTAAATATAAATCGATATAATTGAAAATGTGTCAGCGACTTGTCCGTCGTGTTCACCCTTGCGAATCGCGACCGTCCATGGGATCTCCCGATTGGCTATCTCGTGATCGTCGTTTACATCACACACGGGTGTTGTTACTGTTCTCCCAATTCTGAATATTAATGTTCACGCACGTCGGCCTCTACCTTGCCGCGCGCACATGACGGATATTTACGCGAATGTATTCGTAGAATTTCGCCGACGGGCGAATTTAGCGGGACATCGGGGAAGAAACATCGTTTCCACAGCACGTAAATGACTGGCATAATAACGGTAATACACGTTGGGCATTATCTGCACGCGCTCGCATTTTTGCGGGCAGACAGGTTCCTCCGGTCTCCCGCGATTCCTCCGAGCAGCGCCGGCGACGGGGCGGCTCGTGGTTGCGCGGTTTTCGCTGCAGCCACGCGATGACCCGCGCTTTTTGAGGCCGCGCGAAGTATCGAGTCATCGCCGCGAGACGGAAGGCGATACTAATCTCTCGATGCGGTTATCGAATCCGATACGCGAGCCGGAGCGATTTCAATGAGATCTCATTGTGCCCGTACGTTCGCGCTCGATGCGCGGCGTGGGGCGCACCTCGCGCGCGGATTGCAGCCTGGCGTGATGCAGGCGCATCAAAGGTGTACTGTTACTCGCGGAGGTGCAACGGACTCGCCGCTATTAGTACGGTAATATCACAGAGAGAGGTCTTGACGTTATTGTCAGGAACATCGCGGCGATGCTTTTAAGCGGAAGAATACGGCTTAACATTCCGATGACGCGGGCAGGAACGCGCGTAGAATTTTTATGCCGTTTGCCGGAGAGGCACTGCCGCGCGCGCGCGCGCGCGGACATTATGAATTATTGCAGTCCGCAGTCGCAAATAGTTCGCTTTATCGCGTTTATTAAAACTGGTCGTAACGGCATACCGGTCATCGCATCGAGGAAAACACAGATTTCTCATTTTCTATCATTGCCAGTGATATCGCGTACGACCGCGATTCAACCGCGTAATTATGATTCCGCGGTAATCGATGCACTTTCCCTCGTCAATCAACGTGCGCTAGCCGGCGATTTGTATTGAGACACAGCTTGATCCGTCATTTCCCTGTTTCGTCACGGCCACGTGGCACGCATTCTATTTTCTTTTTTCTTATTAATCGTAAATGATATCCCGCGCGATATAATGTAATTAGACAAATCGATCAAATTGTGCAGCTGTTACAGCCAGTCATGGAGTTTTATTATTATTTATTCATAGTGTGTGACAACGAAAATTATATCATTCCAATCTCTTACTTCCTATTTTATATGCATTCTGTTTCTCGGCGAAAATAAAAATCACAATAAGTGTAGCGTAAAGAAAGAGTAATATCGGCATATAAAAAGGCGGTTTCTGAAATGCTTGTTTCAAATTTCGATGTTCTGATGTTTTTTAGTAATTTTGTTTCACGCTTCTGTCATTCTACATCTCATGCTATATTTAGACTTTTATTCTCCCTACAGATATAATTAATCTTTGATATATTCCGAAATTAAAATCCTATTTCCTATTTTGATATTTCCATTATCTATCCATGCCTATCCTGCATTTTAATTCATGATTAATTCAGAGACTACTTTAGACTTTCAATCATTTATAATTCAATACACTGCGATATTTAAGTACAAGATGCTCAGTGTCTAATTTTACAAAATAATATAATATTTATAAATATAATTTGACTACTTTTTTTTCTATGTGGACATGCCAGAGAATGGTTTACCTTCGACTGATCCTGCTGTTGCAGCAATTGCTCCCTTATCAATTGCAGCTGCAGTATCATCTCCGACAGTCGACGTTCCTTTTCGGCGAAGCTCTCGGCGCAGAGGACCCTATGAAGGGCCGCCACGCCGTCCTGCTGTACCTGCGCCTCCGTATTTGATATCCTACCGGCATCCGGAGGCGAGAGTGTCACGTTATTTGCCACGGTGGTGGTCGTGCTTCCACTGCAACTGCAACATATATAATTCAATCTTGGTCAGTTTTGTCCAATCGAATAAGAAAGAGAAGAGAGAAAAAATAAAGAAGAAAGATATTTATTAGATTTGAGATTGAATTCTTTTACTTAGCTAACGATACAATTATAAAATAAATATGACAAATATATGTAAGAAAAAATAAATATTATATATTTTGATATTTCTCGATATCAATTTGAGATTTCTCGCTTCTATCGGTTAATTAAATAATTACTGATTATAATCGAGAAAGAAGTTGTGTTAAAAGTTCTTAATTGTATAATAAATATATAGAAATCGAAAGGACAACAAGAATGTTTACGATAATATGCATTTATATTAATATATTTATTTTTTTAATTATAATAAAGTTATTGTTTTTTTTCACGTCTATCATCATATAGCCTATAATATTTTTCTATTGATCATCATCATATCTATCATCATTATCATCTATCATCATCATTATTGGCTACTTTTATTATACACATTATTATACACATTTTTGTCATTAATGATAATAATAAATAAATAAACTATTTATAATTTATCATAATGATTATTGCCATTTCTTTCTTAGTATAAAAAAATAAAGAATAGATATCGATCAGAAATATTCGTCGATGCAAAGACGTTTCTGGACCGCTGCATGAGAAAGAACGAGACAGCCTCCAGCGCATTAGGTTGGAACCAGATGGTAGATGGTCGCGTACGCGATGCTGGAAGCCAGGTGAATAATAAATGAGTCGCGGCCGCGCAATCACGACAGAGCGAGTGTTTGCGTCCGTGATGGGGTACCCCGGTGCCATCAATTCTCCCCCGTTCCTCCACCCGGATCCCGGCCCTCGAGCACCCGCCCAGAACCAGTCTCGAGCTTCTGTTCCTTTATGTCGGAGAAAATGGACCGCGAATAAGTGATACAGGTCGTATTGTGTGGCGCTTAGGAGACTACCGGTCGGACAAAGCCTACACGAGCGAGATGGACGAGGGTGACGACGTTGACAACGAGGAAGCTTACGCTGCGAAAAATATAGGCCAGCAGCCGGCGTGCTTCTCTGCAGCGTTACAGGGTCACCGATTAAAGTTACATTAAGATATACGCGAATGACATGCAGCAAGCGCTTAAGCTGTCCCGAGTCCGTCAAGTCACGGATGTATGCGCCTTTCCTTTATTTTTCTTTAATACTGTCATTTATCTAAAATTTTCAAATTTTCCATGTCAGCCTCATTATCTAAATTATTATTATTATTCTAAATTTTATTATTTATTATTAATTGAAATTGAAGTTAAGAGTAATTTTAATATTATATTAATTCGTCTGTAAACCTTTTTAGATGAGAGATTATATAAATGTGATATATACAACAAAAGATATACAAGATAAGATACACAAGATAAGAAATATTTTAAATATTTTTTTTGAAGAGGAAATTCAGAAACAACGTAATCAACACTATTCAGTATTGCGTTAAATAATGCGAGATTGATATTTGACGGAAAGACTGTAATAATAAAGAATCATCAGAGAAATCATTACAATAGAAGTTCTGAAGGTTTAAATTCTATTAGATGATTATGTGTACAATACGAAATACTCAACTTTTAATTCATGAAATAATCACTTCACCGCTAAAGTTAAGCCGACTGCGACTATTTGAATATTTCTCATGAGCATTTAAACTCATCTTATTCAGTCGGCGAAAGTACGCATCCAGTTTTGCGAAAGACTTTAATTTCATGCGAACTTTCTTTAGCGTGATAATAACGTGTGCTCGGCGACAGATTTCGTTCACGCTTAACGGCTTTAAAAATAAAAAGAACTGCCTCTTGTTATTATTATCTCGTGCTAAGATATTTGAAGGGCTTAATTTCATGCACGAGCCAAGATAAATGGTCGTCTCGTCTCTTTTGTGCTACTCTCTGCGTAGATTCTCGTCTAACGAACACGAGAATGTATGATAAATTGATGGCACATGGATCCTAGATGAAATTAATAAGAATAAAGAGATCTTTTCGCATTTTTTTACCACCGAGACTCGCACGTGAGATCTTCGTGGGAGATCACTTCGATTAATAGTAGCGTTTCATCAAAACCACAGCTAACGTCGTTAAACGTAGCTGTCGATAATTAAATGTCCAAGTTATTAAGTTTTACGATCGACATCATCAATTTGTCATTAACCCTAATTATCCTATGTAATACATGTATATAAATCGCCAAGTTATTGCAATATCTATCAATCTTTTATCTCTGCTTCTGCCATAGAAGCTTCTGAAATAAACACGTTTTTATTTCGCGATTCATTGGATAAAATCGTTTGAATAATGCATCCGCGTCTTAGCGTTTTAAATTCTTATTTCCTAAAGAGATTATCGTTTTTTGTACATTTAGTACTACGTTTTTTGTAACTCCGATCGATTATTCGGGCTTTAATAGCATCGCGCTATTAAACTGACTAGTCGACGAAAATTTTTACCGATGCCGTTAATCTCTTAGAAATGTCGATGTATCGAGGTTATCGTCGGTCCATAATATGACGGTTACTCTCCACGGATTTTTATCCAATACCTACTATATTTAGAATAGCCGAGAGTTAATATACAGGCTCGATATTTTCGTCCATCCGATAACTCTAGCCACTCGCATCTCCGAATGCTCGTGTGCGCTCATAATACGATTCGCGCGTGATACGTCAGTAGTGCATATATGATGCATAGATCCGAGACGCTTTATATAACAATGTTGTTACAGTTGTTTGTACGTTCTGTCGAACGCATAAAGTTGCAAATAAAGTATTCGAAGTATCTTCGTGTCGGTTTTGAAAAATTTCGAATTTAGGAAATCGACAACAATCGAATAGCCAATTAAGTGCTTAATGACTGATACTCCTATTGATCGGCAAAAAAATCGATAGAATTATTCTGAAAATAAATTAAAAGTATCCTCGATATTACACAAATATCATATAGTTAATGGTATGATAACAACGAGCATTGGCCGTATATTTTTAAATCGAATCCATGTTATTTCGACGTACGCGAAGTCAAGTTGAACGTGCTCCAAAAAGAAGGTGAACGTCAACGTAAGTGCACGTTGTACTGTTGGCTGAATTTTTGAAGAATCTTGGCCAACCGTGCTGCTCGATGTGGGTAGCAGACTGGCACAGTTCTGCGCTACCGCTCCTCCACGCTGCCAAGTTCACTCGTTTACTTTCAATGACTCCACGTCAATGTAAGACGTTGCGTTACATATCTAGCTCGAGGGTAGACACTTTTTGTAGAGAGAATTCTGCTATTCTATTGTTGCCTGTCCCGCGTGTAATTTTGCCAGGTGTTATCTCACCGCGGATCTATCGTCGTAACGACGAGACGGACTGGATAGAGAAGTATTTTTTTGTGTCAGTAATAACAATCCTACAATTGTAAAAAAAAAAGAAGAGATAACACGGAGAGTAGGAGACTTTATAATAATTTGATCGTGACACAAACGATTTGCGTAAACGCTTCATTAAGTCATTCCTAACTTCAATATTACTTCCATCAACATAACATACGTCAGAAGTATATATCGCGGAATAATATGCAAAAATATAATTTTATGGTAGCATCGTCGGAGCACTATCGTACCATCTTGTATGACGCATAAAGAACGTAATTAGTCACAAGACATAGTTTCCACTTTACATTCTCGACTTTGTGTGAGCGACTTATTGAATAGAGAAAAAATCATACAAATACAAATCAATTCATTGGCAGACCTAATTATCTAGAACGATTATTATCGACGCAAAATAATCGTTTGAAAAACAAAATATGTGTCTGCTGACACGCTGTAAATCTTTTCAAGGAATTGTTTGTATAATAAATTTAAAATGAATTTAAATATATCAATTATATCAAAATAGAAGGAGAATGGAGATCACAACGAATACTAAATCTCTTACTGAAAGATGTGTTTAAGTAATTTATGTAAATTATTATTACGGAAATGAACGTACTCCGATAAATTAATAAAAGTTTTTTCCCAATTCAGAAAATAAAATATTATACAGATAATTATTTGATTAATTAAAATTTAAGCTTATTAATTAAAATTATTCGATTAATTAAAATTTTAATCGAGCTTTTAAGATACAAGATCAGATTATAAATTAATTGTTAATGGATTACAGAAGCAAAACATAGTAATTTTCATAAAATTAAAAGTATTTCAAAGTTAAAAATTGATTTTCTCATTTAATAATGATTGTTTTAGCGGTGACGTTATACTGCTTTAAGTTCTTGGGTTATTGGTTATTGTCAACTAAATGTACGGCAATAGAGATTCGTTTTTAAGAGACCGCTAGGTTAGCCTTATGGTTTCGGGACAATAGCCTCTTTTAGCCCCGCCCGATCGTTACTATATCCGAGATACCAGGCCTTGAGAACACTGAAGCAAGAAACGATACAGTGGTCTTTTCTTTCAGAAAACAGAATTATAACTGACGCCTTAATTTCCGGCGATAACATTGGATGATGAGAAACGTGAAATATCACATTGTAAGTCATTTGTAAGTTGAAGCATTCGAAGAATATCGATAATTGTTACGAGATAAATTTCAAAGGTTTCCTTTCCAAGAATTTAATCTGACCATTCAACTCTTGTAGAAAGAATTTTACTTATATTTCTTTTAAAAACAAAAATATGTTTTTTACCTAAATTTATCTGATTAAAAGTGTATCGAAATGTACACAGAAATTATTATGATCAAATATGTTGCTACTAAATTACTGCAAGCGCTGTAAAGTTCGTAAGTATTAAATATTAAATTTAATTGTGACTTGATGCAGTAACTACGCGGGTCAACTTGTCTGGTTGATAAACAACGATTTGCAATTATTTGCAATTAATTTCTTCGTTATAAAATCAAGATTAATTCAAATACTTATTTGAATTTAATCTTATATATGCTTCAATTATGTATTCGGCAATTAAGTTGCGAGAGAAAAATTATATAGGCATTTGTAATAAAGTTGCAAAAAGCCACATCCGCCTCTGATTTACCATTATATTATATTAATCAGTTATGTAAAAGTGGGAGAAATACGATAACCTCGGCGACATGGTGGCGCATTATGAGGCAGATATTGCAACAGAGTAGTGCACTGTTACAATGTCGATCGAACACGGTATCGAATAATTAACATACACAAGTTGCGTAAGAGTCGTTTATCGAGATACGTCGCATGGATTACACGAATCGTAACGGAGTTTGAACCATTAGGAAAATTGGAAGAAGTTCTCGAACGACGGGCTGCTCTCATTTCCCGTCATTCGGCAGATACTTCCTGACTGCGTTAATAGCAGCCGAACCGATATTAAACGGAAAAGGATCAAAGTAATAATTGGAAAATCTGACAAGAGCACTACAAATTTCAAAGACTTTTTTCATTTATATTTCTATTATAATAAAATTAGATTTAAAAAGATAGACTCTATATTTTTATATATACTTCTACAGTTGTTGTACCATCAATCCAAAATATCTTACTGGTAAAAATAGATCAGCAGGAATGATTGAATACAGATGTAAAGTTCAATTCAATTAAAATAATAATATTCATATTATAATAATAATCGGTAAATAAAGATCGAGAAACTAGCACGTTTAACACCGATTACAATTGACATTAACGTTAATTAATATGCAGTATTATTATTAATTTAATCTTAATACTGTAATATAATGCAATAACAAGAGCAGTAAGTTTAAAGTCAATCAGGCAATGAACGAGTATTATTGAGTATTATTTCTCAAAATGGCACTTATTTCTTTTTGCATCCTTAATTATCATTACTTTATAACAACCTTTTTAGAAAAATATATAGCAAATTTTCTAAAATTTATATTATAAAATCGAAATCTATCAACACGGATACATTTATTATTTTATATCATATATTTATTATTCTTTAACAAATTTACTATTAAATTTATGAATAAATTGTTTAATATTAGAATGCATTACTTTTGCAAATAAAAAAATATAATAAAAAAATTATCAAACCTATTTTCTCCCTCTGGTTATTATTATAGTCCGATAAACCGATAATTTCTTCTTCAGATTGTATTACTAATTTAAAATAAGTAAAAATAAAAGCCTTGTTTCGCCCGCCCGAATCTTCTATTTTATTAGTATTTGATATCACCTGGACTAACCTATGCGCATTGTGACCGGTTGGCGTGGAAGAAAGTGGCGGTGACGTCCGCCTGGTGTTGGTAGTATCATCTTGGATAGACAGGGATTCGCTGTTCATCTTGCACGTTAGCCTTTTGAGAACGTCGTCCATGGATCTTTTACTGCCCGCAGCAGTAGTGCCACTGCCGTTATTGTTGTTATTGTTGTTGTTGTTATTGTTCTGCGTGACGGTGTTGTTGTTATTATTGTGATGGGGATGATGAGGATAGTAAGGATCGACGGAGAGAAGGGTGGGTGGCGAGCCGCACTCCGAGGAGCTCGCGGGTTCCAATGCACCGCCCGACGATGACGACGTGTTCGTGTGGTGATGATGATGATGATGGTGGTGGTGATGATGATGATGGGGATGGTGGTACGGCGCGAGGGTTTCTTGGCTCGACAGGAACAGCAGCCTCTGCCGCTTGGCCGTCCGTAAGGAATTCAACGAGGGCGATGGCGAGTCGCGTAGATCCGGCTCGCTGGTAGTCGCCGGCGATGAACAGCCGGATGACTCGCACTCGCCGCCTCTTTGATGGGAGTAGCACTCCTCGATGTCGACGGGGGTGGCGGCACCCTCCTCACCGACGACGACGGCTGCCTCGCCACCGGAACCGGCCACCGGCGAGGTAGTGTCCTCCTCCTCCTCGTTGGCGCCTGCCACTGTACCCGCACCGCCCCCGCCCTCCGATAGCTTCGTTGGTGGCGACTTCCTCTTTGAGGACATCCTCAGTCTGCAACACAAGCGTAACGGGGGACTGCTCAGTTTTTTGTCTTTTCGCTTTCTCTTTTTTTTTTTCTTGCGTCGACGTGCTCGATTAGAATATGTATCGTGGAGGAAGGGCGGGGGAGGATAGTCGTGGCGTTGGGAGTCTTCAGATATTTTCTACTGTGCTTGATGATACAGCTCGCTTTTTCTTACGTGTATATATGGTACCATGAAAAAAATTATCTAAAGTAGCGCAAAATTTATTTTTAATAGTGTCGATTATTGCGAATTTATCCAACACGAAAAGAGTAGTGGAAAGTTAAATTTCAGCGTCCTCAGGTGGAGAACTATACGGATGAGCGATGAAACGGCATCGCTTCTTACGTCACTCGGACGCCTCCGGCAAACGCGACGTCTAAACTATCTGCCATCTGGCGCGGAGTTAATTTAGATACAGACTAACCCAAGTTCGTCCATTCATTTCCGTCTACAAATTACCAAATCTAAATCCAAATCGCGCGATCGACCAATCATCTGCTGGCTCGGTGGCAGCGGCATCGCCGCCGATATCGGCATGCGGATAACTCGAGAAACGTAAGTTACGTAACTGGGCGCGAGGCGCAATTATCGGGCGGGAATTATTGTTGCGCTCGCGTGTGTCGCAACGATCCCTCCATTAATCGAACGAGATTCCATTAATCGACTGACCGAGAACGCGCAGGAGACACAGCGAGGAGACGAAGAGAAAGAGAAGGAGGGGGAATTACATTAGTCGCGATTATCTTCCGCTGGCGCGAACGCGAGCGAGGTTGCGAGGTCAGAAACGAGCGCGGCTCGCGGTTTCGTTGATCGGCATTCAATGAAAAGCGGAACGAGCTTCAACCGCATTTCCGGTGACACGCGGGGCTCTGACGTTTCTCATTTCTATAAATAATTCGCTCGCGGGACAAATTAACGACTTCATAATCCTCGATTTTTACACTTTTTCCAAAACAACTTTTTTCTTTCTCCTTTTTAAAAAATAACATTTTAATTTTCGATATAACACGGTAAACGTGGCATTAAGCGAGTAAAAGAATGTCAACCCGTAGAAAAAAAGTCCAACACATTTTATCCAATAGTGTGTCAATGATTTCTTTCATTAACGCGTTTGACCTACATTTTTGACCCACATGATTGATATATAGAGGTATATGGTGCATTACACGTACATGTGTCAGAGATAATGACTTTTAGACGTAAACGACTTTTCGACTGGAGGATACGCGGCTTACATGACGCTTTGCGTTCAAAATCGTCCTCTGTGATGTGTATAATTACAAGGGGAGATTTATTACTGCGCGTTACGCGGACATTTGTTAGTCACATAATGGAGAACGATTTAGGGTGCTGAGAGAATGCCGCGCGCATCTTCTCGGAACAGGAGAGTGATGTATCATAAAGTTATGAAATATACAATGACATCGGCTGTCATCGGCCCTCGCTTTAGACACTGTTAACTATATCGCGGGGATAAAAATAATATTTATATAATGCACCGCTCGAGAATATGTATGCGCATTATTCTTTCCCAAAATATATACAGATTAATCGATCGATTAATTTGTTTTTAGAAGATAATTAATAAATAAATTAATAAAACATTATATCAAATTATATCTGTGTGTGATTATATGTATCAAATTAGGTTGGCTTAATTTATAAAAATCAAATTTTGACATTTCGAACAAAAATATATTTTTAGCTAATAACATGTAACCACGAAGAAAAACATCAGAAGGTTTTAAATAAAATTGTTTCAAATAATTAAAATAAAGACAGACGACTGCCTTTCGTTTTCTTGCGTCAATTTACGACAAAGATAATATTTGTGAAGATAAAGATAATATTTGTATGCGAGACGTTGCGTAAGGGATCTGCGTGATCTCCTACCGCGATATAGATCGATTGATCGATCAAATATCCATGGAAAGGCAGATATCATAATGTCAGTATTATATTTTCTTATCGACATTAATATTTTTTTATTTATAACACGATCTCTCTATGATTGTACACTCGTTTCAAAATATAAATCAAAGAGGAAAGTATACATATATATATATATATATATATATATGTAAAAATAATGCCCATGTTTGTAATAATAAAGATAATAACGTTACACATGTAGAATAACGTGTGAAAATGAGAAGCACGTTTTTTTCATCGAAATAAAAGAAAAAAAAGGACACTGTCGTCCTTGGTCATTCAACACCAAATCGCATTAAGAAGTGCACTATCAAGAAAGTCAGGATGACGTATCTCTGGTCGCGTTCGATATGCAAAATGCTGCAGCCAGTTATGCGAATCGCCCATGCAAAAAAAGCGAGTGTGCGGGCAGTGGGGGCGACGATAATGTGGGGGGATAAGCGGTACTGCGTTGCGCGTATTACAATGCGTTACAATGATGTAGGTTGTGCCGGCGCTGCTGCACGCGCGCGCCGCCAGCGCACTTTTTACACGCGAGAAACTCGCGCGATACGACCGCGACGGGGGTTATGCATGCGCTCGATGCGCGTACACACGTGCACTCGCGCGAATCGCGAGTCGCGGCGAATCGAGCCTCGCCTCGAGGCCACGTGCTCCGTTTACTACGAGCGCATGTGTCGCGAACGTGACGCTTCGAACGGCCGCTGCGAGACACACCAGCGAGGGACGATACGACGAGCTCCGATGAGATCGGAGGATGATGAATCGATGAACGTGTAAGTTAGTCCAGACCTAAGCGTCTTGCGATTACAGTCAAAAGTCGAGGGTATAACCCTCGTGCGATAAGACTGAAACAAAACGAATTTCTCGCCTGCAGCGTGTCCTCGGATTTTACGAAAAATTTTATATTCACCTACGCATTGCTCATTTTCAGCAATACATAGATAAATAAAAAAAAATTAAATATATATTGAATTATCGATTTGCGTCTGTGAGTCGATACGATAAAAAAATTTAAATTGAAAATCGCAATTTTTTTTTTAATTTAGATATATGAGAAATACATGTTTTGTAAAACATCGCTTCTGTTACTATATTTTTTTTTATTAAGATACGAGCCTTAATAGAGGTGAGACGAGAAAAATAGACCGCACTTCTTAATCATTAGCAATCGCCCAAAATTAAGCTTAAGCTTGGCAGACTCGCTAAGAATAAACGGTCCGACATGTATATTTAGCGAAGATATGTTGACGGCATAACTACGCACGCTAGATAGTAATCTCGTAAGTCACGATTGTCAGTCGTGGCAGCAATCAGTCAGTGTGCAAACGTTCGGCGATCGGGCGCGAAGAAATCGCGCCGACAGAGACTCCTCTCCCTCCCCGGCATCCTCCTCTTCTCTCAGATATATCCCGAGTTTATCGCGTCGGTTTTCTATTTCTATTGTCTACGTGTCTACGAGACATTGTGTACGTGTATACGTGTACATACACGCGCGACTACCGGCATCGCGCAGCTCTCTTCGTTGTTACGGCGCACTCATCGCGCTCTCGGTACGCAAAGTATTTCTGTCCCTAGACTTCCCGCCCGGCATAATTACTTCGCGAAGCGCACAGATTCGCGACTCATAGCCCCGAGTCTCTCTGCCTGAGGAAACCGAACAAAAAGCGCGCGCCTGCGGCACGTCCGCGAAAGAAATATTTTTAACCGCCAGATGCCATCGTGTCCGGCCGACTGAAATCACAGACAAGGATAGCGAGAGATCATCAACGCCGGTGACAGTGCAGGAACTCGCGCGGGTGGTAGATCCCATCCTCCCACACTTAGTACTATCGTGCCGGATTGAATAAGCAAAAAGGGAAAAGAATGATTTCGCACGATCGGAAATATCATCGAAGAGAAAGATAAATTCAGAGCGAAGTTCGCATCCCGAGACAATTTGTTAACAAATCAGAAAAAAAATGGTCGAATGTAGTTTAAAGTTTGCATACATCTTGCGTATTATGTTATATGATAACAAATCGATCGTTAACATAGATGAAACAAACGCTTGTATTCGTCATGGATAACGAGATAAATCTTTCTCTCGTCGGATATTTCTAAGAATTCTCTCACACCCACGCAACGTCCATTCATTCATTACTGATTCATTAAGTTCCTAACATGAGTAATTACGCAAGCGCAATTTTTATTTCTCTTTCTTTCTCTGCACGAGCACCGAGCGATCTCGCGCTGCGCGTGTCACGATTGATGATAATTTTGTCGTCAACGAGTCTTTTTAAACAGAATTTTAATTAAACTTTAATATATCGCACATTTCATTATTGTAAAAAATTGTTGATAAAAGTAAGAAATCAAAAACTTCAGCTATTAAGCAAAAACTTCATTAATCAAAACATTGAGCAATTATTGTATATATGTAATATGTATGATATATACATAATAATTGCTTATATAATTTTGTTTTCGACCTGTTATTCGTATCAGTAATTTTTTTTAAATGCTCAATAACATATACATACGTATAAAATTGGTTTAATATATATAATTTCCAATTTAATATTGCACAATTTTATAATGATGATAGATAAATGTTATGCACTGACAATCAAAGCTCTCGCAAGGCCAGCTATAGTATGACTTAATAGTGTTGCGATTAATCTAACTGTGACTATCGTATGCAAGTCGTAAAATTATGCCATTTCAAGCGGATAGTATGCTCACCGAAGAGCACGATACAATTATCTGCGCTTGTACGCTTCATACTAGCTTCAATCATCATGCTTCGCTTATCGAAAAAGGTCGAACATCCCAGTTATTACATTTACTCTACAGATAAAATATCGTTGAAACCGATATATGTTGTGATATATTTAAAATTATGTTTCATATAAAGTAATTTGAGGAAAATAAGGAGAATTAACATTACAAAATCTCTATCTCTACTTCTATCTTTAAAGAAATAAAAATCAATACAAAATAGTGTTTAGATGGCAGATACAAATAATCAATTTTCAAGAAAAATATTAAATTTGAAGATATCCGAAAAAAATA